CAGAAGTGGTTTACCAGCTTTGGTCAAAACCCCACCTTCTTTTATTTATAGCCAGTAGGTGAGTGGAGCTTCTACCCACCAAATAAATCTGCAGAAATGGAGATGAGAAAGTGGGCAATGTTAGATTTTTATTAGACTCTCAAGCCACAAAGACAGTACCCAGCAACACTTTCTATTAACTTCAACCCAAGACTATTATGATCAACAAAAGAAAATAGGCCAATATAGGAAGATGTCAAAGCCGGAGAGATCAAAGAATTCCAAAGCATCAACTAAATCTAAAATAAAACACAGCAACTTCAAACTACAAAGAGAGCCGTCTGGGCACAGACGATAAGTTGTGTGGCTATATACTTTCTTTATAGGTGGGGCTTAGAGACAGCATTTACATTATACTTTATGTAGGACAGAACCCAAAAGTCAATTGTGCACTTAAAAGAAAGGGGGGTGGCAGTGAAAGAAATGGCCTAAGTGCTAAGCCACCCCAACCGTGCCTCAGCTCCAATAACAGCTGATAACGACTCAATCTGATTAAGGGAGAAAGCATTCAAGTCACATGATTCTCTTGTTGTGCTCCTGTCCCAGCAAATGAGAAGGAGTAAACCCATGTGACAATGCCCCAAGAGTGTCTAAGCAAGTGACACACTCCTGAGATGAGGAGCCTCATTCCTCAGGGACCTCGTGACTGAGAGGTCTCTCGGGCATGGGTGGGCTCCTCCTGAACCACAGCAATGGTGACTTATCACAACTAGGGGAAGCTTTTCTTGGGAATAATGGAGCCTAGAGACCTACAGGTAGCACCACGTGAGTTACAAAATCATGTAAAAGGAGCTGCTGACACACTGGGAGCCAATTCAGGGACATCTAGTGATTACTCTTACAAAGAAGTTAAACCTCTGGGCTGGTGTCTCTGCTATGCTTTTTATTCTTCATCAATATCCAAAGTCATCAATAATATTGAAGCAAGTTTCTGAACTGAGAAACTACTCTGGTTCTAAAAATTTAATCCAAGGGATGCTGACTTAAACAAAGTCTAAGCTACTAGTTAAGTCCAGGATTTATTCCTTTCTTTTGAAATGACCCTCCTTAAGGAGCTAACCCAGAGGAAAAAAATTTCTTACCTTCCTGGGAAAATGTCCTGGGACTGGGCTGTGGGCTACTCTGGTCATCTCTCTCCTTATCCGAAGGAACTTTTTTCAGGGCAGGTGGAAGAAGAGCAACTTTAGGAGAACTAGGGCCAGATGGAGAGTCTGGGATGTCCTCTATGGAGACAAAAACACATGAATCAAACTGTTCCACAAACTGGATTCCAAGAACCTAAGTCAGGTAAATCTTTAAATACAATGACAAATTTTTAAAAAGCATCACAGAAGTTTTGGGCCCAAAATTAGTTTCTTGTTTCTGCTCAGTGAAGTAACATCCACAAACAATAGACAGAAAAAGAATGAATACTTAAAAAGGATTAAAATCTGCACAGAGGTGAATCTATCTTGCAGACACAGAATTTCAATGAGCTGGTATTTGAAAATTAGATTGTAAGTGAAGCAGTCCTTCTGCCTCAAACATACAAGCTGTTTTGATTTTCTTAAAATATGTTATGTTTATAACCCACTGCATTTACCTGTTGTCAAATCCAGTAAAGGAGTCACTCTGAATATTCATACCTATCTGTGTGCATGTATATATGTAGGTGATGTACCCGCATACATATACTGAGATCATTAAGAATAATTTGGAACCAGAAAGGACTTTCATAATCACTGGACAAATGGAGAGATTAAATGACCCTAAAATGATGGCAAAACAGGTAGGACTGTTTTACAGTCCTGAAAGCAAGGACAGTCTCAGAGCCCCCAACTCTCATACAGGGTGGGCCTTGGTGTTGGACAAAGGAACCCTTGACCCTCATCCCTTTTGCAGCTTTGCACGAGTTTCTCATGATGCCCTCCCACAGAAGCCCCTGTACCCTGTTCTTCTCCTGTGGATCTAGTGGGCCCTGGGAAGCCACCTGGTCATGATGTGACCAGTTAAACCCTTACCAGGCCGTGAGGCAGTTCTTGGTTTCTGCGGGATGGTGGGCCGTGCTGCCAGGCTGGGCTTGGGGGACTGCAGGAGGGGCTTCGGGCTGGTAGGCGTGCCAGACGAGCTCCGAGATCTGGAGCCCACATCCACCTTAGGTTCTGCTTTGGCATTTTTTTCTGGTGTTCCCAAACTGAAGCGGTTCTCTGGAAGACCAGGGTGCAGTTTAGGCACTAAAACGAAAACGGGTACAAAAGTCACACTTTAAAAATCAGAGGAGACGAGCTCCGAGATCTGGAGCCCACATCCACCTTAGGTTCTGCTTTGGCATTTTTTTCTGCTGTTCCCAAACTGAAGCGGTTCTCTGGAAGACCAGGGTGCAGTTTAGGCACTAAAACGAAAACGGGTACAAAAGTCACACTTTAAAAATCAGAGGTCAAAGAAGATAATAATTGGAAGCTTGAAGTCCGGTACTAACTGCAATAATCATTTATTGTCTTTTCTCACCGTAGATATTTTAGAACAGAAACATCCTGTTTCAGCAAGTTTTTAGAATCAAACT